AAGGTTACAGAGTTATCTCAGTAAGTTAAATGTATATTTGATAAGTATTCTAGAGTGTTTAATATATTTAAAACGCAAAGTGTTTAATTTTATGTTGGTTTGGCAGTAAATGAGAGTTCTATTTTTGTAGGCTGAACCACCGGTATATTGGAGTATAAAAGAGTGGTGTGATGGATTTAGAAAACTGTTGGATTATCTAGAACTTGATAAAGTCCATCTTTTTTGGCGCTTCCTTAGGTCAGGAACTTATAAATAAAATAATAATTTACTCTTTAGTTGTAACATAATTTTTAATAAATAAGTGTATTTTGTTTTATTTTTTACAGGTGGTTTCCTGGCGCAGAAATTTACAGAGATGAATGCGCATTGTCCCAGGGTAATCTCTCTAGTTCTATGCAATACTTTTACGGATACATCTGTATTTAGTTACAATGATTCTGCAGCAGTGTAAGTAGGATATTTAAAAAAAATTAATTTATAAGACATGAATCTAGGATACAGATTTATATATAATAAAATTATTAAAATTTTTTTGTATGTGTATAATTTGCCTATATATATATATATGTATATTTCTTTATTTAATGTCTATCTTAAATTAATTTTAATTTTTTTAAAGATCTTTAATCAATAATTTTAAGAAAATTGAAAATATAGAGCTGTCTTCTTATATTAATAAAAAAATTTCTCTTTTTAGACATTTTAATAGAAGATATAATAGATTTATTTAACGTTTGATATATATTTTTATATATCTTTTTATATTTACAGTTTTTGGATTTTGCCTTCAATGGTATTGAAAAAAATGGTAATGGGAAATTTTGCGACAGAAAAAGTAGATGGAGAGATTATAGAGGCAATTGATTTTATGGTGGAACGGGTATGTATTCTTCGAATGAAAGATAGAAAAAAATTATTTATATTCTAGATTTTATATAAATATTTCTATTATATGATTTATAGCTGGAAAGTTTAACGCAACCTGAATTAGCGTCTCGTTTAACAATGAATTGCATAAATTGTTATGTACAACCTCAAAAGATATGTCATTTACCAGTGACAATAATAGACGTCTTCGATGAATACGCGTTATCTAATGCAGTTAGAGAAGAAATGTATAAGTGTTATCCGAATGCAAAACTGGCACATTTGAAAAGTGGTGGGAACTTTCCATATTTAAGTCGATCCGCCGAAGTTAATTTACATTTGCAGGTAAATTTATGATTGTGCAGATAAATGTATGATTATGATTCAATCAATTGTCGATGACATGAAATATTGTTTGTTTTTAGATTCATTTAAGACAATTTGAAGGCACGGAATATACGGCTTTAGAGAGAACTAAGATTTAGCGCAATGCATTTATATTAGGAAAAATGTAATAAAATCCAAAAGCTGTGTATATAAAAATATTGATTAAAAAAATAGCCTTCACTGTTTATATGCAGATATTAAAACTATAGACAACCTCTATGCCTTTTGTATCAAATTGGACATATTTGATTTCTCAAGAATTTGCAATTCTCAATGAAGCAATATTTTTATATAATATATAAATATTTTAAGATATAATTATATGGAATTGTATGACTTACATCTGCTATTATCTTATTTGTTGTTGAACATTTTATTTTTTAAATATATAAAGCATTTATATTTTGTAATAACTTGATCTCCTTTTAGCTATAAATCTTTACAACATATTAATAAAAATAAAATAATCTATTTTTTACTTTACTATTTTCTAATATACTTTTTTCCTTTATTATATGAATTTTATATAAAATTTTTTAATTATGAATTTATTAACAAAATATTCTTAGTATAGAAATATTACACATAATAGTGAGTTTCTGTGGCAATTATTGATAGATTTCTGAAGACATTTACAAATTTACAACATTTTAAAGTTTGAGATAATAATTTTTAAACAAAAAATATTTAGAATTGTCTATATTGTTTAAACTGTTTGAAATTTGTATGTTTAGATACACAGTGAGGATGTAAGAGTTATTATTTCATTCAGAATATATTTTATACGATAATTTTGATATCTATATAATGTATCAATCATGTGAATTTTGAACAATTTGATTGATCAACATTAAATTTCATTTAAAAATCATCACGGCGATGCTATTTTGATGGAATTATCATTTAAAAACGATTTCAAGAATCTATCATTAATATCATGAAAGATCTGGGACTATTATTTTATATATTATTCATTTTATAAAATAAGAATTTAATAGTTTCATAAAATTTAAAATGCGGCATTATATTTTATTCATAATACGACTTGTTATTTTGCTTTTAAATTACATACATTTTAAAGTCACACGATTATGGTGCAAGTCAGAAATTGACCATAGTTTGCTAGGTCGCCTGACCGGGAGACCGTATAAGAACTTGCTTGGTATCGATTCCTTCGAGTGCACCTCTCTCGTGTTTCTCTTTTGCAATCTCAGATTACAGGGCCTGTTTTGCTCAGTATACGTATATCACATCATTGTCCGTGTCAGTTGTCTTGAAATCTCCTCTTTTTCAATCCTCAGTTTTCAATAAAAATTTTTATTAGCTATAATTATATGTTTATAACTTACATAAAAAATGTTTATCTTTCTCTTTCTCCTTTTTATGGATTTTTAATTATATATTTTTGGAAATGAATACGATAGTGCTAAAGATTTAATTTTGCAGTTAACGCTAGAAGTACCGAGCGATCATTCTGCGCGCGTGCGTGCGTGTGTGTGTGGTGCGTGCGCTGTGTGTGTGTGTGTGTGTGTGTGTGTGTGTGTGTGTGTGACTATTTATATTTTTGAATTAATATTAAAAAATAGAATTGTCGAAGCTCTTTTTTCAATTAAAAATATGAATTTTCTTTCTATCAGCTACTCTTTATTTTAATAGAACATTAAAATTGAAAATTTTAAATTCTATCTTTGAGATAAAGAAAACATAAATTTCAAAAAATATCTTGATACTTCTACAGTTAGAATATTTTCTACAATTAAAAAATTTGCATACGTGCATATTTAAAAATTATATTAAATATATTATATAAAATTATATTAAATATATTAAATTAAAATATATTAAATTCGTATTTTTCAACATGTTAGATATAATTTGATTAAAAATAAAAAAACAGTGCTTAAACAGTGTATTAAACAAATTCATAAGAGTTTTGTTCGATATATAGATGAGTATTGACACAATGATAAGATTACAGTTATCGTTGGCCACTGGTATTATACCATAATAATCCGTTTGATGATTTGACGTGATCTTTTGTAAAGAACGACGTGTACAGTATATGTTTTAGAGCTCAGTCTTTCACCTGCACGTGACGTGAACAGACAGTCAATATCCGATATCGCGATATTCGCGTCGTGACATGTGGCGATAGCGTCAATTTTAGTTATATTTCTGACACGTTTAAATGATTCACATTATTCGAATAGATACAGCACGTAAATTTTAATCTGATTATTTATTTCGATAATGTTTGAAAAATTTTTTTTTTTAGTTATAAAATAGACCACGTGGTAACAAGGTGTTTAACGGTTTATTTAAAGTATTTATTTCATATTTAAATATTTACGTTATTTCATATATGTATTTTTACAAGTGTATACTTTTAAAAAGGACATAAAATTGTATTGTGCTCACAAAAGAGCACAAGGCAAAATTTAATTGCATTCAATCTTTGCTCTACTGTAAAACATAAATTCATATTTATAGATATGTATGTATATATGTGTGTTATTGAAAGGTATAAGAATCTAATTACACTGTTAATCCATTTTTCATTTATAATTATATTTTTATTCATAATTTAAATATTGAGCTCAAATAATAAGCTATTATGTCATTATCAACGATCTATATTAATAACTCGTGTCATGTAATGAAATAATGGCGTATATTTTTCGCAAACTTATTCGTAATTATCACGCAACTATTTTAAGAAACTATCCTAAGGGAAAATAGCTTGAAGCAAAATTCAATCAAGTGAAAGGAACGCTGACCACAAGTTTGCCTTAGAAAGAAGTAACATCGTCGCAAATATTTATCTCCAGATAATAGTGTAAATAATGTAGAAATTTATGCTATTAGAACTTACTGGTCCCATATTGAAAAAAAGATTTAATAACAAATTACCAAATTAGGTTTGATTACACAGTGCCAATTAAACGTTTAATAACAATTATTAAATAAATTAATTGAATGAATGAAATATTTAGTTTAGAAAATCAAAATTTAATATTAGCAATTATATTTTTAGTTCATTCAATTAAAAATCTTCTTAATTGTTATTAAATTTTAATAGCAATAAGATATTGTAATAGTTATCTCATATCGTTAATAACTATCAAATCGACTTTATAAGTAAATATTTGATAATTATTATCAAAATTATCTTTCAGTGTAATATTTATGCAATATTTTATCAAAAGTCTCTTTTTCCTACATTTCCTCTGCTCTTTTTCTCAGAAATTAATTAATATTTTATTCATTTGTAGTTTATCCTTCATTTTTCATCTTTTTTCATAGATGTCACAAGAAAACCACTCCTAGATAGATCATAATGGATTCACCAGAAAGTTTCCATATGTATTTTGAGAAGCATTAAACATTTGTTCAAAAATGGATAACGAGCGAATGCCATTGGTTGACACCGAGAGAATAGCGACATCGACGAAGTTCGCTTATGCTCTTGGACATGTTTTTAATGATTTGGCGGCTGCTATGTGGTTTTCCTACACTTTAATTTATCTACAACGAGTAGCATTGTTGGAACCAGTAGTCGCTGGTGCACTACTACTTTTAGGTATATTCATTTATTTACGCGCTAACAGATAACAATATATTATATTATTAATGATCAAACAATTTTCATTCAAGGACAAATTGTCGATGCAATAATGACACCTATATTCGGTTTCTTGGTTGATCGTTACTGTAAGAAAAAAATTTGGCACGTCATCGGTTCCATTATAGTCACCTTATCCTTCCCCATAATATTCGGTGGTTTTGCCAATTCATCCATCACAATCGCTGTGCTCTTATATGTAACGAGCATTACTATATTTCAAATTGGTTGGGCAGCCGTGCAAATCTCACATCTATCAATGATTCCCTCATTAACCAATTCCGTCCTAGCTCGAGCCGATTTAACCGCGATAAGGTATGTGAATTGCGTAATACCTCATGAGAGCAATCTAGGAATCTGGAGCTCAATTCTTGAAATAAATGCGAATAATTTCAATCTTTTCAATTGCAAATAATCGTGTTTGAAAATTCCTTGGATGACATTCTGGACAATTGCAAGTGTAACGTACGCAATTTCTCGTTCGCAATATAATAAATGGATTATATCGTATATTTTTACACTGAAAAAAGATTACTAAATGCATTTGATTATGAATTTTGATAGAATATTTTTACTATTTTATATATATATATATAAAAAGATATAATAACAATTGCCAGAATTAAGTAACTACTATTAAACTGTTATTAAGTGACAATAAGAAATCGTCGATAATAATTATTATAAATAATTTATTGTTGGATGTATGAAATACATTCAGGTCAGAAAATC